GTGGGATAACAAGGGAGAGTGAGGGAGAAGAGAGAGACGTACCTGGTGGAGAGGAGGTCGGCATTGGTGTTGACATCATCACTCGCTGGTCGTCAGGTTGTCTGGTTGCTTCCATGCTTTAGTTGTAGTGATAGGCTGTAGAGTAGGTAGGGCGCCTGGCGCCATTCAAGAGAGAGAGCTACATTGGGTTATGCTGTTGGTGTTGCCCGATTGGGCGTGGACATTGACTCACGACTCTTCTGTATCGTTCTCAAATGGATGGTTACTCGGTTCCATTGTGCTATCTGCTTTTGCTTCGATTGTTTGGACTTCAGAGTGATTTTGCAATCTGGATTTTTGTGCTTCGTCCACATTCATGTTCCTTGCATTTTGGTATCGGAGCTGGTTCGATTCGCCACTTTCCTTGGTGCACTGGCGTTATACAGACTTGGTGCGTTGACGATGCTTCTTCGCAGTTGGTTCGTGTGACGTCAGGCCATATTAGGCGCACGACCTGGGTAGAGAGGTGTGCGCCGGAAGGCTTACGACATGGGTTGCCGTGGTTACAGCGGAATGTATGATTGGTGATGAGAGCATGTTGATGTGGCATTTAGTTGAGGTGGCACTGCATTGCGTTGTGGGTGGTACCGAGGCTACGACCGGTCATCAAATGCACACTGAGCTCAATTGGTGAGAAATCTGTGGTTGGGGGCAGCTATCTCCAGGTAAGTTGTTCCCTTACCTTATCTACCCTCTCAATCTCTTCTTACCGCGAGGAAGTGAGTCCAACTTGAGAGTCCTCTCTTTTAGTGAGGTGTCGTGTGCGCGCTACCTTGAGAGACGACAATCTTCCCGGAAGCATCTAGAAGGAGAAAGGGCGGTGCCTCTGAAGGGCCCTGGTCGAAGCACTTGGGTCACGGTCACCATGCCAACCCAATGGGAGTAGGTCACCCATGCGATGGCTGCTTGTCCATTTTGGCACTTCGCTGCGCTATAGAAGTCGTGTCGGGTGTGCCAGCCCATAAGAGACGCTTACCAGACCGTCTATAAATACTTCTGGCTGGGGACTAGGTGTTGATACTGGTTGTGATCGTCGTCCTGACTGCGACGTTAAATAATTCCTGCAGAGATGGGGGCTCTCCTTAAATCCCTCCTGATCAGCCAGATCAATCTGGGTAGTAAGGCTCGTTCCGTACGAGGGTAAATAAGAGTGGATGGGCTGGCTTGCTCGGCAATGACTTGGAGCACAGGGGTGGGCCGACATTACACACGAAGACAATGCTGCTCAAAGATGCTCTTCGGTATGTTGGATTGAGGGGAGGGTAGGTTCTAATTGGTGCTCAATTGTAAACATAACTATATCCATTGTTCATACATCTGCAACATATTTTAGTTTTATTGTTGATTAGTTGGTCACAGACAGTTTAGTTTAGGACTGTTGAATACTACCCTAGCCAGTTCTATGCAAAACTTCTGTAAGTGAACTAATCACGATACAGCTAGACTATGTTGACAGTCTTCTGTGAATGTTGTAGGCTGCCACTTGATCGGTCAAGTAGGGGACCTGTTGGACACAATTATTTTTAGAAAATTAGGTTCCGGTCAGACATATGCTGTGGTAGGACTCTAGCAGGGAGTTGTAGTGCAGATAGTGTTTGCCTAACTGATGAGCGGGTCAGACACCGATGAGGGTGGAGTTGACGATGTGAGACTAACACGTTCGAGATCACTTAAGAGTCCCGCACGTGTTCCAGACCTTACAACCGGAAGATGAAAGACAGCTTCATGCCGAACGCAGAGTCTGTGCTCTAGCAGCAGCCCAGGAAACAACACTAGCTGCAAGTCAGGCGTTGGCAGCAGCAAACGCAGCAGCTAGAGAGCAGGCAGCAGCAGGCAGAGCAGCAGCAATGGCTAACGGCGCAGCCTCTGCTGCGTCCTCGTCTGGGACCCAGTTGGGAATGCCCTCTGGGCCCGCGGGTACTTCCAGGTCAGTAGGTTCTAGTCAGTCCACAAGTCAAATGGCGGGCTCGCAGTTAAGCCAGTTGACCCCACGCGGTAGGGAGCTCCTAGGGTTCCAACAGGTCGAAAGGATCTGCGAGCGGTTAGAGAGGGAACTGAAGCAAGCAACCGATAGAGAAAAGGAGATCAAAAATAGAACAGCCAGGCTTGATACGTTAGAGGCAGACAAAGTTGCATTAGAGGGTTTGGATGAGTCAGCCATGTCTGACCAGATGAAAATATTAAAGAACAGTGTATTGTCGCTGCATGCACATGTGGTCAGCAGACTGGACTTCATGCAGAACTCTTTGGACCAGATCTTGGACCTTTTGCAAAGTCCAGGATTCAGGCCAGCAGCACAGTCGCCGTTGTCGTTAACGACGATGCTAGGCCCCTTTCCGGTACAAGCTGGCACACAGCCAAGTGGTGCGTCTGCAGCAGCCGCACAGACTGTTGCTTCTTCTTCTCTGGGTCAGCGGTGGTAGCTACACCATCACCGCAACAACCTGTTCCTCAATAGGGACAACTGCAAGGTCAATGGTACCCAAAAACCCCTATGAAACCGCCCCTTGCCTTCTCCGGAGAGAAGAAGGACGAGGAACTCAACACATGGTTGAGAACGGTTCCGGTGTGGGTAAGGGCAAAGAGGACTATGCAGGAGGAGGAGGTGATTACTGCTGCATCTTACCTGGAGGGTAAGGCAGCCAAATGGCTGGATGGATTAGTGGCAAAGGCAGGGTACGGACGACGCATGGCGGACTGGGCTAAGACCCTAACGTTAGAAGAGTTCTTAGATATGGTAGAAGCTCACTAGCATAATCCACAACAGGCACAAATTGCCACTGATGCGATGCTCAGGCTAGACCAACGAAAGTTCAAGTCAGTCAGAGAGCTAACGACTACCGTAGAGAGCATCGTCGTTCCGGGCATACGCTACGATGACCAGGTCTTATTGACCATGTTTGTGAGATGTCTCCCAGAGAGTCTCAGGAATTTGCTGGCCAGCGAGGCTCGCCTGGAGTATCATTCGTTTGAGACCTTATCTAGAAAAGCCTTAGACTTAGAGGCTACTCTAGGAAGTGCTCAGCCTACTCCAGTAGACTGGAGGAAGAAGAGGAGTCCACAAGAACGGAAGAAGAAGGGGAGTCGATTGATGATGGTCGAGTCCGATGGGACCCAAACTGAGATCGAAGAGCTTTCAGACCTGTTGGACAGTACAGAGTACGACGGCGAGGAGACCGCCGAGGGTAGCACCCTCGCCGCAGTAGTAAAGACTAAGGCCAGTGGCCGAGGGAAGGGCCATCAAAAGAGTCAAGGGCAGGCCGCCTCCAACCAGACCAAAGTTGCTGATTGGGTCAAGGCAGGTCTTGATCAAGAAGTGTAGCGGGACCGAAGAGTGCGCACACCCAGTACAAGTGCAAGAACGCAAAGGTCACGCAGAAGATACCGCCTAAGGTAGGGGTACCTTCTTCCCAGGCGTCTAGCTGGGGAAACATGTGAGGCTGGTGGAAGTTTTAGCTGCTTCTACTCGTGGTGAAGTGGGCCAGATACCCTCCCCACTTCATGAGCAGGCCATAGCTAATAACTCTTTAGTCACCCTGCAGACTCATCCAGACCAAACCATGCTCTGTACGTTGGATGTGTCTGAAGCCTTAGAAGATTTGGAAAGTGAGTGGTCAAGTAAGGACCCTCTTGAATCTTGGGTGGCACTAAGAAGAGCTCCTAGAGGGGAACATTTCGTTGTGGAAGTTGATGTAGGAGGCCGCAAATGTGGTGCCTTCATAGACATCGGCTCCATGCGGAACTACATAAGTCGCGACTGCTTGGAAAGGCTGCACCTACAGGACCGGGTACAGCACCTTAGTAGACTGATAGCATCTACTTTGGCCAATAAGGAGCGCATGGTTGTCACAGACTATATCAAGGATGTAGTCTATACCTTCTCCTATGGAGGAGGGGAACTTAATCATAAGATTTCGTTCCTGATTAGCGACGACTTACCATTCGATATGTTGTTAGGGATGTACTACCTTGAGGTTGCCAAGCCCCAGTTTGACTGGGACAAGAAGGTGCTAAAGCATAAGTTGCCTGATGGAAGAACAGTGAGGCCGACTAAGTTTAAAGCCAGTAGTATAATCGATACCTATGGCTGCTTGTGTGCATCAGTGTTCTATAACTACTATAAACAGAACCAAGAGGAGGGTATGTACCTAGTGTATGTCTCTGAGAAAGGGGCGACCGTTAAAACACCCCCAGAGATAGAACACGTCGTTACTAAGTTCCCTGATCTGTTCATAAAGCCCACAGGAGTCGTAGATAGGGAGGTTGTCCATGCCATAGAAATCATTTCAGGTTTTAAAACCCCAAAGGGAAGGATCTATAGGATGGATCCGACCAAGTTGGATGAACTTCGACGACAACTGAATCCGGCTGAGTACTTCCCCCTTCGGATCACTCGTGCTATTTGTACCGAAGAAGGGGGGTACATTGAGGATGTGCATTGATTACAGAGGCCTCAATGGCATCACAGTGAAAAACGCAGAACCTCTACCTCGCATAGACGACCTATTGGATAGGGTGCAGGGATGTAAGTACTATAGCAAGATAGACTTAAAGTCCGGCTACCATCAGATTGCAATAAGACCCGAGGATCAGCACAAGACTGCTTTTCAGACCAGATACAGTCTGTATGAGTTTGTAGTGATGCCCTTTGGTCTTTGCAATGTGCCGGGTACATTCCAACATGCCATAAATAGGATCTTCCATGACCACTTATATAAGTTTGTCGTTGTCTACCTTGACGACATTCTTATCTTTAGTAAGTCTGTCGACGAGCATGCACAACACGTTGAGACTGTACTTTCTCTCCTGCGACAACACAAGTATAAGGTCAACCTAGAGAAATGTGAGTTCGGACGCACTAAGATCTTATACGTGGGTCATGAAGTATCCGCGGAAGGTATTAGGTCGGAAGATGTGAAGGTGACTAGTATAAGGTGCGAGGCTGCTTTCAAACGATTGAAGCATGCACTCATGAATCATGAGATTCTCATGGTGCCCGATCCTCAGAAGCCATTCATTGTAACCACTAACGCAAGCCAATACGACATTGGTGCAGTGCTGGCTCAACAGGATGGGAAGAAGTTGAGACCGATTGAGTATATGAGCAAAAAGATGCCATTTAAGAAACTGGCAAAGTCCACCTATGAAAGGGAACTCTATGCTCTTTACAAAGCACTTGTCCATTGGAGACACTTCCTGTTGGGACGGTTTTTCTACTTGAGAATTGACCATCAGACCCTCAAATGGATCAAGACTCAACCGGCTCTCTCTGATGCACTCAAGCGTTGGATTGAGGTCATAGATCAGTATGACTTCAAGCTAGAGTATCTAAAGGGAGAGTACAACAAGGTTGCAGATGCGCTGTCCCGTAGAGCAGACTACCTAGGGGTGCTAGTTTCTGAGTTTGGTGTATCTGAGGAACTAACTCAATCGCTGGTGGGAGCCTATCAGGAAGACCCTGTCACGATGGACATCATACGCAAACTTCAGGCAAAAGACAAGGCCACAGAAGATGAGTTTGTGATGGTGGACGGGCTTCTCTTTCTTGATAAGGACGGATTCAAAAGGGTAGTTGTTCCATCTAGTGAACGTTTGCGTAGTTTATTCTTAGGAGGATGTCATGACGCAACCGGACACTTTGGCTACAAAAAGAGGAGTGCCAATCTAGTACAACGATTTTGGTGGCCCGGAATGCTAGAAGATGCAAAGAAGTATGTTGAGACCTGTCAGGTCTGTCAGCGGGACAAGATGTGAACTCAAGCACCGCTTGGGTTGCTGAAGCCCTTACCTATCCCCGCTGGCCCAGGACAGAGTGTTTCCATGGATTTCATGGAGACCGTGGTGACGAGCAGGAATGGCAAGAGGCACATCTTTGTCATCATAGACCGATTCACCAAGTACCCTAGACTAATTGCCATGCCAGAGACCGCAAGGACTGAACACGTCATCAAGTTGTTTTTGGACAACTGGGTGCGTGATTTTGGATTACCAAAGTCAATCGTTAGTGACAGAGATGTCCATTTCACAAGTGAGCTGTGGAAGAAAACTGTTGAACAGATGGGCAGTCAACTTCAGATGACTTCAGGGAATCATCCCGAAGCAAACGGACAGGCCGAGCAAGTAACAGAGTTGTACAACACTTGCTGAGGCATTACATCAAGCCCAACCAGGATGACTGGGATGAGAAATTGCCTCTCATCGCCAGCCTGTACAACAATGTTGTACACAGCAGTACCGGCGTCAGTCCTAACCAGCTACACTTGGGATGGAAGCCTAGATCAGCACTGGACTTCCTCCTGCCTGAAAACCGATCCTTTGCAACTCCAGGCACACTTGAGTACGGTGTGCAGTATGAGAAGTTGCTACAGCAAGCTGTCGAGCATATCAAGAAATCTCAGCAAGCAATGATTGCTTCTGAGAACAAACATCGTCGGCAGTCCTCATTTCAGGTAGGGGAACGGGTCTGTGTCAAGGCTAGTGAGCTATGACAGGAATTCGGAATCTCTCGTAAACTAATGCCTCAATATTTTGGTCCCTGGGAGGTCCTGGACATAGTTGGGGATGAGTTGGATGGTCCTACCTATGTTATCCGCATCCCTGGTCATCTGCGCACTCACCCTGTCTTTCATGCCTCAAAGCTTGCACCTTTCGCTGAGACAGATCAATTCCCTTTCAGGAGATCAATGCTGCCCCCAACCATGGATGGTCAAGTGGACATCGACGACATTGTGGATCACAGAGGTCTCCCTGTTCCAAAGCCACTGGGTAGAGGAAGACCTCCAAAACCCAAGCGGGATTATCGCGTCAGATTCAGGCATCATACGGATCCGAAGCAGGATCAGTGGTTTACTAGAGAGGAACTGATTGACAACGCTCCTCAAGTGGTGGCAGATTATGAGAGAATGTTAAAAGGGAAGGCACCTGCGAAGTAAGCATCTCAGCGGACTTTCGAAGCTAAGGGGGATGGAATGTGAGGATTGAGCCCTCAAAAAGGGGCCTTGCCATGATGTACATGTTCTGGGCTAAGGCCCCCAGCAAGCCTTGTGCCGGCCCTAAGTGAAGGTGGGCCAGCAAATCAACAAGAGCCCTTTGTTCAAACATTTCATGAAGTGGGGTCCATACAGTTGCCGCACGCCAGTTGGTTGGAGTGCACCGAGTATCGGATCTCTGCAAATGCAGAAATCCCAGGGCCCCAGAATTG